ATTTTTTTAATTACTACCTTGGACTTCACCCGGCACTTTACTATTATATAAAAACAAGTGAACTCGGCAGTCCATAATCTTAGTAGATAGAAGATTTCTTATGGTTGATTGTGTCAAGTGTGGATACCTGAAACTGTGTTCCAGGGCGGGGTCAAGCCGTTAACTTCCCAATATTGTTTTTTTTGCCTTAGAGTCGCAAAGCGAGCTCTCTGAATTCGAAGTTACATTTCTGCCGAACAAACATCTTAGTCGCGGATGGTGGACAATTGAAACAGGCAGAATATAATGGGCTTATTTTATCACCTCTTGGAGAGTGTTATTTTGCCTAACGGAATCGTTAATTTTGTAATTCCAATATCTGCGGACATAAGCAGTCAGATAATACAGTGAATGTAGTGAACTTCGAATTCGGGGATTTGACAATGATCTTTCAGACTGTTAAAAATCGCCCGTCGTCAAATCAAAAGACTGGACTGAGTGCAGTTCACGCCTTGAAGGTTGAGGTCTAGGGGAAAGGTCACACGTTAGGAGGGCCGAGAGGGCCGACGACCGCATCTTACCGGTGGATCCGAAAACTGAAGCATTGAACTCGTAAACCACAAGTTAGTCGTCCCACCCGTGGAGGGCCTCCTACGGCTCCACTTTTAGCTATTGGTAGTCGTGATCCCCGTCCTCCTTCTTCCCACTTTGCGTCTGCAAAGTGGGATTACCAATGGTGTACTTCCTACACCTCACCTTCCAGCAAGCGAGATGCAATCCCTCCGGTCGGCATTCACTCTGTCCTGTCCTCGGCGGAGGCATGGTCTATGGTCGGGGTTACTTACCCTGGGGAGCATTTGTGTTGAGCAAAAGAGCTGAATATCTCTTAACTTTGTGGCATCACAAATCTGGATCCTCCATTGTGTCACCAATTACAAGGGGGCATTCTTTTTACCATTCAATATTGATAGTCAATGCCTCTTCGCAGGCATTGTCAAAAAAGGTATTGCATTGTCGCAGTTTTACTTCGATGACTACCTTAAAGCATCTTGACCATCCAAACGCAAAAGTCACTGCGAGGTCTTTTTATTTATTTCTCTGACACGTACAAATAAATATTCTCAATTACTTTCCTTCTGCACAATTGCGCCCCCGAGTACGTAACCTCAGCCATAAACCATACCCTTGCCCTTTCTCCCTCTTCCTAAGAATCCAGATTGGTAAATACAAAACTTAATGGCACAATCGTTGACTTCTGCAGTTCTATCATACAATATCTGAAGTGTTCACTTAGCATTACGTAAGTCTGATTAAAACTGTATGCGATCTAAGCAGGGACTGTGAAGAATGAAAATATGTGATAAGTAAAATGTTTGCTAGCGATGCTCCTATTACCAATTGCTCACTTATTTCTGGGGCCCCGGCTGTGCCATCTGTAAAGCTAACGATAAGAAAATAAACGCAATTTAGTGAAATTCCCATAGGCACTGCGGAAATTTCTGATGGAAAGCATGTTGCCATCTAATGATTATCAGTATCGGACCACGTTGCACAACTCCTGCAGATGTCATCTTAAAAGTTGAGAAAGACTCTTGGCTTTAAAAATCTTGGCTTACAGCGAAATTCGAAACTGGTTCAAATGGGGACCGTTTCCGTCCGCCTATTCCAAAAATTCACCGAAGGGTGGTTGCATTTCAATCAGAGCGTCTTCTAGAACACATGCGCGTTACCACGCCAATTTCGAAATTCTCTATGGACTGTAACCAGAACATCGTCTTTGGACATATTTTGATGTGACATACGAACGCTAATCTATAGTGCGTCATTTCCTCTATGCTTTATGCACAACACACTTCCAGTTGTTGATTTACGGCAGACCGACTGTACGTGTTAGTAGTGTCAAATGTCCTTACTTGAGAGTTCCAACAGAAATGCGAGGGAGAGTAAATTAAGTACTGGAACGTTCTGACTCCACGCCGGCAACTCCATGCGTCTGCAGTCGTTGTAGAGTTAAAATTTATTGATCTACGTATGGTCATCTGGGATGGCCGTTTCTGATATAGTAGCCGTCGTAACGCAGCCACAACGAAACCCCCAAGTTTAGCTAACCCGAGGTCCAAAAGCAAATTCTTGGGCCATTGAGCATTTGACAAATTTTCTCACCACTAAGCCACGGGTTAGTTGTCCAGTGACTTTTCTTGAGCAATATCGGTTAAAGTGGAGGGAACAGGTTGCAGACAATGGCATACACCCTCCCTTATACATTGGGACCCCAAGTTATCCAAACTTGAGGTTGGGTTATAAATGGCTGACGTGGACCGAAATACCAGAAATGACCATCACAGTCTCCGTTGTCTTGTTGTGCTCCCATAGTTAAGGGAAGAATCTGGAGACGAGACTAGGGCTTGAAGTCGGGAGCTCTTATCACAGCCAAGGGGTTGGAGTTGACGAAGCTTGGACGTCAAGACATACAGTAGGCCTGCAAGGTCGTTCGCCCCCCAGAGAAGAGTGCTGAAATCGCAGCCATGTGCAAGTCGGCCGCCGTCAGTTCATCTGCCGAACACGCCAATGCGGAGGTTTCCTTGCCCGTGACGAGTTTTTCCGTGGAAGAGGTCTCCTGAAGCTCTCCTGCAACCTATACAACGACAGATGGACTGCAGTTATTCGACCTTGAAGACCTTGAGGCGCGTATTGCACTGGTGTGGACCAACTTGTCTAACTGTTTGGATTTTCAGTCAGGACGAACTGAGAAGGCGGTATAAGGGTCGATTGCAGGAACTGGCAGGGCAGCTAGCTGACGCACTTGATAATGCAAGTGCCCTCTTGAGGAGCCCCGCTGTCTGCGATCGGAACCTGCCGAACGCGGGGAAGGTCGAAAACAGCGACGGCCTCGACTCTGCCGAAATCAACTCCGGTCAGCGAAGAGTCTTGCCAGGGGAAACAAGGACGACGCCTGCTGACATACAACAACAACTTTCTCTCTCTCATTCATCAACTACAGACTGATCTTAAACTGGCAGTTCAGAGTATGTTTTCATACGTACGAGATGCTGTCTAGGAAATGAATTCAGTTGACCCGCTCAGTGGTCCCGTAAACGTCCAACAAGGGTCGAGTTGGTGGACCGCTGTCATGGGTTTCTGGAGAAGGCTTAGGCGACCGCTCCCAAGGAGCACAATGGTGAGACGATAGCACTTCTTTTCGATTAGGTTGCTAACTTTCAGCATCAGCTGGCTCGACGAATAAGCGAGAGTGAAGAAGCCCGAAGCCTCATTGTCAAACTGCATGAAGAGACGGCAGATGTGCGCGGTGGCCCTTGTCCACCCCTGAGCGCCCTTACAATGCCCGACTGGGTCTACTAATGTAGATGTTTTTCGGCCCTCAAGACTACAGCAATTTTGGACTGTGGGCCAAAATTTACGAAGAAGAGTGTCAGTTAGCCCAAGCGTATAGGCATACGCCGACCATATTTGTGAATAGCTGGAGGAAGGCATTGAGGACGGAAAAGATAAAGAACCCGAAAAGAACCGACTGACCATAATATAACGCTCACATGGGCGTAGGTCGATGAAGGGGAGGATGAGCTATAGAACTTGAATTAGTTAATAAGCCGCAGAGTTCTCTAACCGATCACGAGGGCTTCCCAGGCTGTGGCGACAGACGTTTGGCTGACTTGGTAGGAGGAATCAATAGCATCAAGTGGCAAGCTGGCCTGTTGCGTAAAATAACTGAGGCCGTAAACGCCCGGCCGATCAAATGGACGATAGACTTGGCTGCGAAGTCAGCTGCGGCACAAGCAACCGGGAAGGAATTGAATTCAACGCTCGGCGACCACAGCCGCTAACTGTCTTTGACCGATTGGCTAAATTCAATAGGTGTGTCCGGAAGGTGTGTCGTCACACCTCGGTAGTCCCTATGCAACCCACAAACAACAAAGCCGTACGGAGAGGGTAGCATGTAATCCCACAGTCGGTTCGAACATTTTTAAATTGTCTGCCTATCAAACAACAGTCGTGACCCAGAGTTGATTTCGGCAGCCGCCTGGATTACTAAGCAGCCCTACCTAGTGAGTCACTGCTTACAGCTTCACGGTAGGAGGGGCTGAAAAGGTGACCTCAACTTGCTGATAAAACCCACTGTTGGCAAACCGACCGTTATTTGCGGCCGTATAACACGCTGCCAAAACAATATAAGAGACACCAAACATCTCCGTCCAAATCACTGTGCCTTCCTAGAATATTGGGGTGGGCGATTCAGCCAAGTTCCCAACCACCTTCTCGCTTCAGTTCGACAGTCACAAGCGACTACGTCAAGCGCAGGCAACATCTGTGACTTGCGCATGAAGCAGTTCGTAGTGAGGCAGACTTACGCAGCACCTATCGCACCTCCCCCTCCCTCACGCATCTAGCTCCAGTGATTAGGCAATAATACAAGGACCAGAGGTGGGGAAGCACAGTGACTGAAAATGCAAAACGGCCATATTACATGTAACATGAGGCAGTAAGGGCGGCTCGAATCTCACCTTAGTGGGAAGGCTACATAAAGAATGAGCTATTTTGGCATGAGTCTCAGTCCTGAGAAAGGCCAACTTATCTCGTCAGTCGGGAATCTTCCAAGCCACGACGGATAGGGCGTCGTTATAGATTCAAGCGCGTCAGACTGATTATGGCGAAAAATGTGCTGATGTGTCGTTTGGATTAGTTCCCCAGTGTCATTTTGGAAACAGTCGGGAGATGGCACCTAAAACATCCGTTACCTGGAAATAATACCTTTAACAGTGTACTCTAACGCCTTCAGACTATATCAGCGGTTGCAGGCCTACTTTCACGCACTACTTGGACTTGCCTGACGGCCTAACATGGGCTGGCCGAACGAACATCGCAGGAGGTTACATGGACAATGGTCGCCGTTATCTAACTTTCCCCATCGTTACAGACGTACACCTGAATATACGGCATAGATTCGCATTATGGAAGTATATTACAAAACAAAATCATTTTTAACTAAGATAAGTCTGCACAACATGGGACAGGAACAGTTCCCAGGCATCTGTCAAAGGCATGGCATTGAGGCCAGATCAAAGACGATACTGTACTTCGTCTATGTGAGCCCAGACAGCTCGACCGCACACAGGGCCTCCCTCGTGGAGTTTCCTTTTCAGTCTACTCTAGTATGTCTCAATGGTATTGGTGTGCCGTCCGGTGGTAGGCTCCTTGAAGTTCTTTGAGTGGTTAGCAGAGGAATGTAGACAACATTCTGAGGGAAGACAATTATACGCCTTTAACTCGTCCGTTACCAGTATACTGCCTTTGGCGACTCATTTTGTAATAACGGAACGGAGAACGGGTCAAATTCGATCATTCACCTGTTCAAATAAGGCTTTCCGTCGGCTATTATTGTACATCCCGACCAGCCACCACCCATAAAACCCCTATTACCACCTGTCCCATAAGACAGGCTGCTTTGATTAGGCAGATTTTTTGGGCGCCATCTCCCGATTGTTACCGTCATTTTTACCCTCTACTCACTCTTCCATGAACCATTTATCTTCCAAATCCTGTCAACTAATGGGTTCTGGAATTAGGCGCAGCTGGAGACGCGACCTGAAATTTCGACCGTCATTGCCGAGACTTTCCACCGCGTGCTCCGCAACAAGGTAGGGGTGTCCAGTTGTGGGTCCACGTGACGGTCGTAGTAGGTCGCCCACGTGCTTGCAGGTGTGGACTGCGCCTTGCGTCCATTAAATAAAACCTAACTCACATGTGGATACCCGAAGCTAGGCTCTGCCCAGCGGTCACACCCCTGTAACCGTCTCGACCGGCGAGCTAAACCAGGTGAGGATATTAGTGTGTGCATCTCCGCACACGATAACTCGGCTCCGCTGGCCAGATCGATCATCGCCTCGGTATCTCCTAAACGAGGCTCCGTCTGTAACACCGCATGAGGACGCAAGGTAAGTGAGCCCCAAAGTAAGCGAAAATTTTTCTGTCGTCTGTGCTTTGCTTGCTTTCTGTTTGCTATTTTGTGTTTGTCCTTGTTGTAAGGTAAATGCCGTTCCGTTGGATTTCCTCTGTGTGCCTTTCCTTTTACTTGTTCTCGCTTGCTTGCCCTTCATCTGCTTGTTTTTGCTGTACGCCAACTGCCGCTGTTTTGAATTTGTCTGCACACCGCTTATATATTTCAGCAACCAGTTCGACTCGAGAAAGACGGAAAAGCTCTGCTTCCCCTCTCTTTACCCTTCCTCATCCCTCTCCACCCTTCAAGTCCTACGGCGATGCCGTAGGCAGGCCCAGGCTAACTCAGGTCGTTCTCCCACTAAGCAAAAGTCATGTCCCATAGTGGAGTTCGGCAGCAGCCGGACACAACTGAACAGCCTTATTTAGGGAGGGGCTAGAAAAGGTGTCCTAAACAAGTGTTGGGGACACACTCCGTCAGCAGGCTGACGGTGGCCTCAGACGCGAAACTCACGGTCGAAAGAACTAAATCAGAAACAACACACACACACACACTCTCTCTTCTCCTTCCTGCCCGCCGCCCCACTCGCCAGACTGGTAGGATGAGTCCGCTCACTCTGGCAGCTTTGAATGTTCTTTCCATTTTAGACAATCCGAGGAGCAACCGACCGGAACGGAGGACAGCGCTAGTGGCTCAGGAATTGGCACGCTACAAGGTGGACATCGCCGCATTCAGCGAGACCCGGTTCTGTGAACAAGACCAATTGGAGGAGGTGGGTGCCGGCTACACCTTCTTCGGTAGCGGTCGCCACAGAACAGAGCGATGAAACGCGGGTGTCGTCTTCGACATCCGGAACGACATCGTGGGACGACTGTCCTGTCTGCCGCAGGGCCTCAACGATCGCATGATGAGCCCCCCCCCCCCGCCTGCCTGTCCTGGGAAACAAATTCGTTACCATCACCAACGTCTACGCTCCGCCGATGACCAGCACTGACGCTGCAAGGAACAAATTCTACGAGGACCAGTATGCTCTCCTGGCGTCTGCGTCGAAGACGGATCAGTTGATTGTCCTTGGTGACTTCAACGCCTGCGTCGGCACAGACCATGCTACCTGGAGAGGAGCGTTGGGCCCCCATGATCTCAACGGTTTCAATCACAATGACCTGCTCCTCCTACGAATCTGCGCAGAACACCGACTCATCCTAATGAACACCTTTTGCCCGCCGGGGCGAGAGGAGGTCACCTGAATGCACTCTTGGTCATTACGCAGGCACCTGCTGGGCTATGTATGTCCTCTTCCGGTGGCGAGACCGGCGGAACCTGCTGGTGACGAAAGCGAGTCCGAGTGCCGACCGGCGGAGGACTACATGTAAGAGATGCTACGCGCAGGTACGGCAATATTTATAGGCTCTCGCAGACCCAACGCCATGAGCTAGTCTAGACCCCCGCTTCGGGTAAACGCATCTGCAGCGCAGCCCGTTGTCGGGGCGGACCCATTCAAAATCGTCGCAGAAGGCATCGATCGATCTCCCCATGTGGACACTAACGACTACCTCAACAGTTGGTCTTCGTACAAGAGGCAATCAATACGGTTAAACAGTTGTCCAGCGGTAGAGCACGGAACGCCGATACAATTCAGCCGGAAACTACAAGTACGGCGGCTGAACGTATAAGCAAGGTTGTTTCATTTTTTAGGATATGCGGACGCAAGGACAAACCCACCAAGAGTTTAAGGATACCACCGACGTCACATGTGTATAAAGTGAAGCGATGACTCTATAACAGCCAGAGAGGCATCTGCCTGAACTTTGCAAGCACGTGCCTTACTCACTCTCCATACATGCATGTGAAGCAGGGGCTCATTCCAGAAACAACACGGGAGCCGGAAACTCCCTGGAACAATCGACATGATTTTTGTTGTCCGCCAATTAGAAGAAAGCTGCCAGGAACTGATGACCTACTTCTAAATCACCTTCGTGTATCTGAGGCAGAAATTCGACACAGCGAATCTCTATGGAAACTAGAAAATCATGTTTAAATTCAAATAGCTGGGGTGACCCAGAAAAATTGGTATAACAAGTACATGATGGGAAGATGGCGGCATCACAGCCAAGGAGTTAGTTTTGGAGACATTCGCGGTAATAAATAGGATGATGCAGGGCTGCGTACTACCTCCCACCTCCTTCAGTCTCATAGTATTTGCCATACTGTTGGATGCCCACTTTGAGTTACGTCTGGAGATCGAAATCAACCAACAAAGCGACGGAAAATTTCTAAGCGTCCGTCTCCTGTAAGCTTCTTCCACAAAACTAACAGATAACTGCTCAATATCTAACACATGCAGTATCGACGACCTCTTATTCGCGAATTACTGCACGTTAAACATCACAGTAAAAGATGGCATGCAGCAGTGTGCTGATCTCTTTTCCAGCATCGGCATGACAACTAGCACAAAGGAAATGTTGGTCATGCACCAAACGACTCCAAATAATGCTTACAACGAACTCAGGGTCAATGTCCATGCAAATACTATCACACCAGGGATGCGTGAGAAGTATACCAAGAAACATCAAAATCGATGAGGAAAGTGCAATTAGAGCTCCAAAGTCAGACCGACCACCGGAAGTCTGTCATACGCTGCCTAGAATGGTCGCGTCATCACGAGACCGAGGATGTACAGGACCGCTCTCCTGATTGCGATTCCGTACGAGGCATAGACGTGGACGGTATAAGAAAGCCAACCAAGAAAGCTCAGAAATTTTTATTTCTGGAGGATGCTGAAGGTTGTGAGACAGGAAAGAACGTCAAACTCTGGAATTTTAGAATCGGTATCCTCAGGTTCCACGCCATCCTGAGCCAGCCACAACTGCGTTGGAGCAGCCACGCCGTGAGGTGGATGAGCCGTTGCGAGGATATTGGCGGGGCTCGAGATTGAGTCCCAAGGCACAAAGCGGGATGAGCGTGTCCCGTATAACGGTCAATGAAATCCCTTCTGCAAATGGATGATGAGCGTCTGCTCAAGAGGCCGTCCTACGGCTGTGTCTCTATAGGTGCTGGCGGACAAGGCGGACGAAATCATCGTTACAAGGACGCCCTAAAAACTTCTCTCAAGTACCCGAAAATTGATCCGGATATCTCAGACGACATCCATCATGACCGGCAGGCGTGACTTACTACCGTAGAAAGAGGAGTAGCCATCTTCGAAACTAGCCGAATAGTCCCTACTAGGGCAAGTATAGGGTCACAAGACTCAAATGCCGCGGACCAGCTACACCGGCACTCAGCGCTGCCTTCATGCGCACACAGTCAGGACGTATATTGGTTTTGTTAGACATCTCCGAGATCGGTGCAATGTCAACGCGACAAGCCGCCTCTCATCTCACAAAACATCACCACTGCCGACATTCCACCAACAATGAGGGTCCAGCCCTAACGCGACCCTCTTGTGGCCGCACCTTTGAAGTACGGTGGGTCGTTTAATAATCCGTCGTACTAAGACCTGCGATCCAGTGCCGGGACTTCCGATATACACCCGTCACATGCGCTCCACCTGCCTACGTTGCCCCAGGACACCCAAATACTGCATGAAACTCTCCGGTAGTGTGCGCATACATGACGGCTATATTCACCGTAATGCCATCTTCCAAATCAGAAGGCTCCTTATTTTCTACTACTAATATTGCTACTGCCACCACAAACAACAATGTCGCCGCGCCATCACCACCACCACCGCCAGTTCTGTAGACACAGTCTCATCCTATCCTTACTGCCACCTTACCTTCGAATCACACATCGGCCTGGTCAGTCACAAGCGAAATCATCGCACTGAGGCCAGCAGAAATGTGCCAGGAGCCCCAACACACCTGTCAGCTCTACCACACTTGCCTACACTGGTCCAGGACGTTCGAACGTCGCATGAGCCTATTTTAGCAATATGAAAATCGTCGGTTAGACAGCTGCACCATACTCCATCACAGCAATCCAGTGTTAACGTATACACTCCCTAGGCTATAACAATAACCTACTCCACAACACGCGCATACACGCCATCTCTCCCCAGCGCACCATGTCTCACTCCTGCAGCAAGCATGCGATCCATTTTGCCAGCCCTGAAATATCAGTTGGAAAGTCGCATACCAGTATATACAAATCTTATTTAGATGGGAGGCGTGTCCCCTGGTGTAGCCTGGTACATGATGTGGGGACCGATTCGTGTGTGACACATAAACGGGACGTTTCGTTTTTTTTAGCCAAAAGGCACTTGAATCTAAACGGCGCTCTAAGGGTCGTACTCAAACGCACTTCACGTGGATACCAGGTTTTTGAAATGCATAGCACGGCGAACGCTTCTCTCTCTCTGTAGCGGAGACGTTCTCGATTAGCTTCGTACAATGGTGAACGTGTGTCTTCCCAATATAGCATACCTCCGTATTTAAGTGCCCTCTACAAATGTCGGCCGCCAGCCCTCCGTCAGTATCACTTGAAAACAACGAACGAAGCTTGACTAGCGCGTGGAGAAGGACTAAACTGCGTGTTCAAATAGATAAATCTACTATGGGTCACTTCGTAGGAGTTGCTGATAGGCCACAAAACGTAGGTAGCGCCAGCAAAATATCAAACACACTAATTCCTGGGAGCAAAACATGGAAGAAACATGAGTTTGTGGAGGACTGTCTCGTGACTGCTTTGGGACGGCAACTAAACTGTGTTTTTCAGGACTGGAGGGCCAAAAAGCAAAAGGAGTAGATGACAGCATTCCGAGAATGCGCCAGAAAATGAACAAATAGAGAGACATTTGATTGGCTGGGAAAGCGATACGTGCAGGCAGCACCGAGCGAAAACGCAACTGCGTCGTACGTGATAAGAACCAGAGACTCGCTTTGGAGGGGCTGTCCTGGGATATAGAAAAGGCCGCAATCTGTTCTGCAGCAAAGACCAAGTAGGAAAGGCAAATATAAAAATACACATGAGGTAGATTGATTGCAGATCAACTATGTTTCTTTTTTCAAGAAACGGTTTTGTTGAGTTCAAGAGAAAGGGCGATTTGACGACGGCCGATAGATGATAGGTATTGATGCATTTGCAATGTCCGCGTTGCGGAGTAAGGGAAAAATATGGACAGAAACGAGGGATAAGTGCTATCGTTCTTCTGGGGGATAACTGATGAGGTAAAGCAGGTCCTTCTGAACAGCTGGGATGTTCGGCTCCTGATTTAGAGGTGTTCAACGAAATCAAGGAGGTTTTGACAAGAGTCGACTGTGGCCTGAAGGGTCCTCGAAAGCGTACCTGGCTGAATCTGAAAGTTAGCAAATTAGGGATGTCAAAACAAGTCCAAAAAACAATGCTAGGGGTCAGACACTGTATATTATTTTAACCAAAAAATAACCATCAGGTAACAAGTACGAAGGTCGATACAAAAACAAGTTCACAGGCTGATTCAATTGTTTAAAATAGCAGGCGAGCCTCGATATGAAGACGAGAAAACCTAAAGACACAATGGTATCAGAGAAGCCCTCCAAAGAGGCGTTGAATCGCAGCAAAGCCTAATCCTGGGAAAACCTGAACACCTTGACTTTTCCTACTCACTCCGTGAGTAGGCGGTGTTAATGAGACAGCCTACTTTACTAACACACTGCTTTATTTGACGGCATGCTAAATTGTCTTCCCCTCCTTGATGTCGCTTTTTGTCTGACTGGGCCTCAAACTCCTTCCCCCGTATATCGTCATCCTCGTCGTCATCATCATGATCACCTTCCCTACGAGCACCTAATTTAATTCAAATATTGGATGTTAAATTGATTTTACGGGCTGGACAATTTTTAAACAGACCTTCAGTTCAGATGCACTCAGGGAGTCAACTTTTGTCTCTACTAAGAACAGAGAATTCTGACATGAGGACACTGGAAGTTGGCAACAGAAAAGGACAATAGCTCCTCGAATTCAGCATTCGGTCATGCCATTGAAGGCCTTTGATGAGCAAGTCATCGCAAGGTGCGCGGAACGAAGATACATATATTTGTGCATTATATAGGCCAGATTAATTGGTGTCGCGTCGAAAGTCCACGACGATGCTTTTTTGAAGTAAGCTTGACCGAGGCATGGCTATTTTTAATGTTTTGCAAATTTACCAGTAAAAATTGAAAGTTCTGACTCGGTATTTTTCAAAATGTCGAAACTACCGATATATAGTCAAGTCAGTGAGTAAATGAACAACTTGCCAAGGCAACACTTTCTCCAACCTGACTGC